ATCACTTAGGTGGGATGGGCAGTATAGAAATTTAACTCATAAATGAAAATAAATATGCTCTAAAAATGTAATCTGTTTTCCTAACAAGTCCTTCAATCAGATAAAAAGAACCCAGTTAAGCAAATAAGTAAAAACATTATGCTTGTTCTTTTATTTATTAAAGTAAATGATTTACATATTGGTAAATGTGTGGTAACAGAAGTCTGTGAAACTTTATTTTCAGTAACTGGTGTGTCCCCTGTGGGCAATAATTTCAGTTAAATGTTTCTAATAACTTCTGATTGGTCCCAGGATTTTATTTTCACCATTCCAAAACATTAACTTCTTAACTATTCTTTGGTTAAGACTAGTGGTTTTTGGTTCCTGTCTTCCTCTATAACCCATTTTGTCTTGAAATTCAGCTCATGGACAGGTATCCTGACATTTCCCTATAGAATGTGTTGACACAATTCAGAATTCATAGTTCTATCAATGATGGCAAATAGCCCCATTCCAAAGGCAACAAAGAAGGCCCAAAATCATGATATTGCTACCATTAAGTTTCATAGATGGAATAAGATTCTTATGCTGGAATATAATTTTCCAAAAAAACAACAACACTTCATTCAAGCCAAAATGTCCTTTTAGTCCCCTCCATTTACCAAACATTCTTCCAATAGTCTGGGTATTTGGCACTTATGACTAATTATCAATCATTCTGTGATCTCATGGTCACTATTTGTGATCTTCCTTGCTGGTTTCTCAGAAAATCAATGGGGAATCTAACAGAGAAAGTTGCAAGTCATTGGCAAATCTTCCTCCTTGTGCATCCCTCCATTCTCTTCAATCCATGTTTCCCTCATACATCCCTTCACATGCTTGCGTACCTTCCCCAAACCTCTTTCACACCCTGCATTACACCTCTCATGCACCCTGTCAAACCCCCACACTCCTGATCCCCTGCAGCACCTCTCACGCTCCCTTGCATGTTGTGCATCATCTATAGTGGCTGTCTCCTTGCAATCCTATCATGCACATTATTGTTATTAAGTATTTTCCTAATGGTGGCCTCATGAAAGAGAGATACCTTCAGTTCCTTAACCATTACCCTGAAGTTGTGTAAGACCTCCCAGCATATATACACCTTCCTCTTGTGTGAACTTAGCTGGTTGGCCACTCCAGGGGGATATAACATTGGTGTTACGTGATCTGCCTGAGAGTGGATGGTGTAGTCCAAACTGTTTGGAAATAATTTTTTAACCTTTTCCCACCTGGTGAGCACCAGTTGTTGTTGGGTTTTTTGGGGCGGGGGAGTCCTCAAGATATCTCTTTTTTTTGTAGGACAACTTTTTTACATCCGGTGTTGTGACAACCACAGTTTGAATGAATGAATGAATGAATGAATGAATGAACAAATAAATAAATAAATAAAATAATCAGAGTTCTGCATCTCACTGATAAAGTGATGCTGGGTAGCTGTTTAACTGGGTTAATTATTCATTGTGAAGAACAGATCACGTTTTAGATAATATTTATGGAAAATATTAAAAATTTGAAAGGTTCACAAACATTTAAGCACTATTGTATACACCTTACATAAATAAATTGCAGATTTAAACCATCAAAGATTGAGGGTTTTTTTGCAAATTTTATGCTCAGCATAGACATTTGGGAAAGTGTCGCTACTGTTGTTAATATTATTACATCCCAGCACATTACATTAAGATGAATCTGAACAAAGTGGCTATTGAGAAATGTTGGAGATAAGGCATGCAAAGGATTCAATGCTATATTTGACTAAAACAATTTTTCTTGGAAAAAACAGACAAATACTAATGAACTAAAATTCCTGAATGGGTGATAAATTAAAATTTAAAACTAACTTTTAACTAAATAGCAGAGAGAAAATATACTATTTTGTTAACAAGCATAAGGGACAGTAATCAGCTATATAGATATGGATGTAGTTATAGTATAGAGTTTCATATGGACTAATGTAATTGGCACATACTGTATGAGGTAAACACCTTAGATATTTTCTGTAGCCCAAAACAAATTACTTTAAACCGATTCCTCTTATTCATCGAACATAGAATTATAAGGCTGGAAGGGACCATGAAGGTCTTTTTGTCCAACCCTCTCCTTTCTTTCTTTCTTTCTTTCTTTCTTTCTTTCTTTCTTTCTTTCTTTCTTTCTTTCTTTCTTTCTTTCTTTCTTTCTTTCTTTTTTTTTTCCTTCCTTCCTTCCTCCCTCCCTTCCTTCCTTCCTTCCTTCCTTCCTTCCTTCCTTCCTTCCTTCCTTTCTTTTTGTATCTTAGTGACCAGAACTGTACACAGTATTCTAAGTGTGGCTTCACTAGTGTGATATAAAGTGGTATTATCACTTCTTGTGATCTTGATGCTATCCTTCTGTTGATTCAGCCCTGGACTTGCATTGTTTTTTGGCTGCTGCAATACATTGTGCTTCTCTGATATTCCACTAGGACACCTAGATCTCGCTCACAGTAATTACTGCTGAGCCAGGTACCACCTGTTCTGCATCTATGTGTTTGATTTTTTTCCTGCCTAAGTGCAGAACAGGTCTAGGACAACTCACCGTAGCCAACATGCTGTGACATGGAATAATTCAACACTGCATTAATTGTTTCATTCAGTTATTTTTATTATTGGTAACCTCTTTTTTTGACAAAATTATTGTAACTCTTGTATCTCTGGATTGACTATATTTTATTATATGGTTCTGTTGAAATAAATTTAAGTGTCAGCTGTCCAGCTAGAGAATCCAAGAAAGGAATTCCTGGGACATTGTTTTTCTCTAAAAACTTTATTGAATACACTACACTGGTACAGAAGAAGCGAAACCAACTCAGTTTCCTGTGCTAAAGTCCACATAATTAAGCTTGAATTTCTCTTTGGCCATCCCCCTCAGTCCATTGCCCAATTAAAAACACTTCTTTTTTATGAGAACTGCCTGCAAAGTTGAAACATCTGTGTGGCATGACCTTGGCAGGGACATCAGGATTTCACAATCTGTAGAGGAAGTCTTGGAACTCTATTCCCACCCAAAACGTTCCAAATACCCCTCCCTCCCGATTGTTGTCAAGCTGAGGAAGAAGTAACCAGGTGAAAGAGTGAATCACCGTGGACATGCCGACCCCCCCAAAGATAGACACATCTGGAATAAATATAAACATACATTAGTATGTACAATTCACCAGTACACAGAACATTAATTTCACTTTGGTCATCTAGGTTATTTGAAATGAAAGCTCTTCACTTGCCTGGCTGCTTTAACGTCTCTTGCCACTACCCTCTCTGCATCTGCTACGGGCTAGCCTTTCCATCACACAAGTACTGGAATTTTCCTGGTGGTATCTAGAGTCCAGGATGTCCTTGATTTCATAGTGCTTCTCTCCTTTTATAAGGATCAGATCGGGTGGGATTCTACAGGTTCGCACCTATTCGCTAGAACAGATTGTTAACTCCTCTAAGCAGGAGGATGGGGTTCCCTGGGGAAACTTGAGCATGGCTATGAGCTCAACTCTCATAGACACTTTAAAAGGGATAAAACCCATGCTATTATGCACCAAGTTATTGTAAACCCCTTAGAAATGTCAGCAGCTCAGCCCAGTTAGCCTGTTTATATAGTATCTTAGGTATTGCTCCACCATTGAGTTAACTCACTCTGCTGCTCTGTTTGTACTAGGATGAAAAGTGAAACTAAGCCCTTGGGATGTACCTATCTAGTTCAAAAACTCCCACCAGAACTTTGCCGTGAACTGTACCCGTCTGTGATGATCCACCTTGAGACCCCATGCAGCCTGTGGACATGCTGTATGAATATTTTCACTAAGACCCAGGTGGAAAGGAGCTTTGAGCATTTATGAAATGTGCTTTTGAGAACAGGTCAACAATGGTCCATATTAGTGGGCTCCCGCTACTCTTGGGAAGCTCAAAGTCCACGACTGTTTCCTTCCACACCATGGTTGTATTGGCTATTGGCTGTAGCAGCCCAGGGGTTTCCCTAGCAAGCATTTCATAGATGCACATATACGGCAACTTGCCACGTAGGGTTCCATTCTTCTTCATTCTTGGCCACCAAAACTGCTTTTTTACAAGATCCAGGGTTTTAAAAAACCTAAGGTGCCTTGCTGGTTTCGTGTCATGAGTCCTTTGTAGAATCATGGTTCTCTGGCTGTCTGGGACATAAACTTTAACCCCCTTCCACACTAAGCCTTGTTTCAGTCACTCTTATGCCTTTGAAATCACTCATCCCCACCATGGCTTCTTCTTTCAGTTGCTGGCTGTGTGGCTGTCTCACGCACACCAGCACTGCTATCTCTAGTGTTTATATATTGGGGCAGCTGTGAGAGTGTCTGCTAGGAAGTCCCGCCCCCTGCCAATAGTGTAGGGCGAAGTTGATCCCTTTAAAGTACTGGGCCCACCAGAGCTGCTTAGGGGACAATTTCTTTGCAGCTTTCAGTGCTTCCAGATTTTTGTGGTCAGTCCAAACTTTGAACGGGATTTTGCTATTCTGTAAGAATTGCCTCCAGATGAGGAGGGCCCAATGGATAGCATAAGCCTTCTCCTCCGATTGCCCACTGCCTCTCAGTGTCGGACAGCTTCCAAGAAGTATAGAAACAAGGCTGCAGTTCTCTCCTTTTATTTTTCTGTAATAAAACCATCTCCATGGCCACATCACTAGCATCTGCCTTGGATTACAAACAGCTCCTCTGGGTTCGGATGTTTCAAGATTGGCTCAGTGGCAAAAGGTCTCCTTAGCTTTTCAAAAACTCCTTGGCACCTGACAGCACAATTCAAGAGTTAACAGTCTGGGTTTCACCCCCCATCCCTACCCCATCTTTAACAGGTTCATGAGGGGCAGAGCTATCTGTGCAAAAGTGGGAATGAATTGCCTATAGAAGTTTGCAAACCTCAGGAACCTGCAGCTGCCTTCTGGTCCATGGGGCCTCCCATTCTAGAATTGTTCTAGAGGGTTAGAGTTGAGGGTTAGAGTTTGGGGAAGAAATTTTAATTTATAAAATGAGGATCCAGATTGTTTGGAGAGGGATGCAATATGCTGACTCTGTAAACCACTTAGAGAGGGCTGTAAAGCACTGTGAAGCAGTATATACGTCTAAGTGCTATTGCTATTATTTTTCCATCACAACGTATTATGAGTTTTAAGTTCAGACCAATTTTATTTTGAAGATACGTTTTGAAACGTAAAAGTAGTAATAGTTAACCATTCGCATTTTCCCATTTTTGTTCCTTATGGCAACATATGCATATTGATTGGTTCAGGGTGCATTGTGCAAACTGTATAAATACAGTTTTATGTAGTACAGTTGTAATTATAGGCTCTTCTTTGTTTTAAGTTTTTATAGTGACATTAAGAAATTCTTCAGGTTTCCCCTTTTGTTTTTATCTTCTTCAAAGTTAAGCACTTTTCTTAATTGACTGGAAAGGATTTTGGCTTTACTCTGTGTCCTAGAGAAATCATGTAATCCAACTGTAGTAGTTCTGAAAGTAAACACAGATTAAGTGTTACATATGCTGTATTATATTATCCATAATGTTGCACATAAACTACCAAAATAAAAAGTACGTTTTAAAATAACTAAAAATACAACATATGCTTTTTCATGAATCATAGAGCTTACTCTAGAAAGACTGAATTCTATTCTATATTTGGGGAAATACGGTAGGAGATAGGTATTAAAGGCATACTTCAATTTAATATATAATCAGTGAAATAAGTATTCAGTCTGATAATCAGATTAAGATGCATACTTGTATTTATTTCAAGATTCTTTTTCTAGGAGATGAAATCAAATCTGGGATCTTTAGAAGGATAAACTTGTGTTCTTCTAATGAACTGTAGATTCACGTAAGTATGCCTAATAGATCTGGGCTGCAAATATCTGAATGGGCACTGAATTTTCTCCAAAAATAAAGAAAAAAACCTTTCAACTTTCATTTAATAGTGATATGGATTTTGGCAGCATAGATTTAAGCAGGCTTCATGGTAGGGTGCCAGGTACAGTACAAAAAGAGCAAAGGAAACATTAGTAGAAAAGTGGCATTCAGGGAACAGAGTAAGCTTCAACAAAACAGGAAAACTATACTATTTTTTTCCAAAAATTGCTGTTAAAGTGAACTTTAATTGATGATAAATGTTAAATGCTTGTTTAATATACTAATGCTTTATGACTGTGCAAGCACAAAAATGATATGATAGTGATACTCTAGAATGGATAGGAGCACAAGCATAGACTTTTTTTCCTCAGGTACTACGTGTCTTTAAAAAAAGATTGTCAAAGAAAAGCAGCCAAGGCAGGAAACAAATGGGAAGAAGACTGAATGCAGCTTTCCACAGGGCAGCAAGGAAGGATAATGAAATATATTGCGAAGAGCGAGGTAAAAAGCTTGAAGCAGACTACATGAAGGATCACACCAAGAATGTATTCATGCAAGTCAAAAAGATCCGAATACCATTTATTGCTCAAAAAGGCATCATTAAAAACAAGCAAGGGAAAACTGTCTGACCAACAAGGCACCAAGAACAGATGATAAGAATATTTAGAAGAGCTGTATGCAGGTAGCAAACAGGTCCAACCTCAGGATGGCAAGAGAAGCAGAAATAGAACTGGCCATCCTTGAGAAAGAGATCATACTAGCAATGAGCTAACTGCTAAACAGCAAGGCTCCAGGTGTTGACACTTTCTCTGCAGAATTACTGATAGCTGTACTACCCAGAGTCATTAAAGACCTGTGCCAGAAAATCTGAGAAACCAAAACATGGCCATAACATTGGAAACATTCAGTATTCATTCCACTGCCAAAAAGGGTGACTTTAAGATTGCTCCAATTATTGCACAATGGCTCTCATTCCTCATGTCAGCAAGGTTCTACTTAAAATTATACAACACCTAGCACCAGCCATCGAAATGGAATTACCAGATGTCCAAGCCAGATTCCAAAGGGGTAATGTTCCCACAAGCATATTGCAGATCTGTGCTGGATCATGGAAAAATGTCATGAATATCAAAATATAATTTACATGTGCTTTATTGACTACAAGAAAGCCTTTGACTGTGTTAATCATGAGAAGCTATGGAGAGACTTACAAGTCCTGAGGGTACCAGCATATCTGGTCAAGTTGGGACAATACTGTACACAAATCATGAAGCCACTGTGAGAGCACCATATGGAGACATTGATTGGTTTGAGATAAAGGAGTGTGACGAGGTTGCATTCTCTCCCCTTTCTTATTCAACCTATTTGCTGAAATGATCATGAAAAAACTAGATCTTGAAAAATCAAAAATTGGGGTAAAGAGTGGTGGAAGGAACATTGATAATCTTCAATATGCTGATGATACAACTCTCCTCTCAGAAACCAAAGAAGGCCTGGAACCTCTGATCAAGAAAATCAAAAGAGAAAGAATTTTGGTCTCTTTCTGAACACACACATACAATTTATGATCAGTGCAAGGAAGAAAAATTTCAAAAGAATAATTGATGGTGAAGAAATAGAATGTGTGGAAAAATTCACTTTCCTAAGATCACAAATAGCTCAATGTGGTGAATGCAGCACAGTAATAAAACATCGGATTGCACTGGGTTGCATAATGATGATGAACTTGAGTTGAATATGAAAAAGCAAGGACATCAGCCAGACAACCAAATGTAGATTAGTTCGCTCTATTGTGTTCCCTATAGCTACCTATGATTGTGAAAGTTGGATCTAAAAAAGTAAGATAGGAAGAAAATTGATGTCTATGAATTGTGGTCCTAGAAAAGGCTGCAGCGTATTTCTTGGATAGCAAAGGTAACTACAAGCTCTGGAATACTTAACACCAGACATAGAAGGCAAAACTATGAAATTGCATCCCACTTATTCTGGCCATGTCATGTGAGAAAATTCACTGGAGAAAGCAATTATGTTTGGAACAGTGAACTGTAAAAGAAACCAGGCTGCCAAAGAACACAGTAGACACTATCAAAGTTGACAACAGAGCATAGAAAACTCAAAGAAATAATGTGAGATCGAAAGATTTGAAGAAACCATAGAATTATCAAGAGTTGGACTCTACTGAATGGCTATCGATATCATCATCATCATCATCATCATCAAAAGTTTTGGGTTTGATAATTTAAAGATAAACTCATTAATAAAATGGAAAGTATGGCGCTGTCTAAGCGGAGTAATTATTGAATTTACATGAGAGCTAATCCATCTATACAGTGAAAATTAATAAACTACAGTAATGAATATACACTCCATATCATCATTTAATACTCCATTATAAACAGCTTTCAAGCTGTGACTCTAATATGCTTTTTAAGAGCTTATCTTTTAGCCAGTGATGACCCTAAATATTCACAATATATATATGGCTTAGTTTTTCAGCAACAACATTGACTAAAACTTCTGTTCACGAATGAATCCCAGTTGTGTACTGCTATTCAGCTTTAAAAGAAAAATAAAAAAGGCTAGTAATAAGGACATAAAGGTTTTAGTCTACTCTGAGCCACATAATTTCACTGGGTGGCTTTGGGTCACAGTCTATCAGTGCAACATACCTCACAGGATGATTGTTGTAAAGAAAAATAGAAGTATCTGTAAAAGACGCAGAATGTAAATCTGATAAATAAATAATACCTGAGGCCTGAAGATGACTTCCCTCTTTTGGATCCAGAGTTCTTATTGATAAGAGGTGTACTTCTGTTTGATAATATTTTCAAATTTGGTGTTTTTAAGTTGAATTCTTCTCTACTCATTCCATAATGCCTTGTTGTTTTTTTGCACGAATTGCAGGTAATTAGCTAAGGGAAGTACACATGCTATTAAGTTCATTTCTACTTTGACATTACACTAGTACTACAATTAAATATTTTATGAAAATAACTGAGAATTCACAAGAAATATATTGCAAATCTACAAAGTTCTGCCAAAAAACTTATAATCACTATTTATTCATTTAAGTGAAGAAAATAATATTTCAAATTTTATATATGCCAACATACCACAGGATCCTGTGGAAGTTGCATAACTGCATTTCAGGAAAACAGGAACATTATGTCAGAAAGCACCAAGAAATTGGCTCCTTTACTTTCCAACTATTTTTGCTGTCAGTACATTCCTGCTGTGGGGAGGACATTAGACCAGATGGATGTGGATTTATGTTTAGAAAATAGAGAAAATTCCTAAAGCTGTATGAATTACATTATGCTGTTAGCATTTATCAATTCAGCCATATAATACTACAAAGGAAAAGTCCTTTTGTTGCTTCTAATAATTTACTTTTCTTAATATACTTTAGTTAAGAACTCTTCAATTGCATTAATAATCTGTTATTCTGTTACTATGAGGCAAATTACTTCAAGTTTCAACTTACCAGGGCATTCTTTGATTCCTTGTATTTCCTCAAGAACTTTGTTTGCTTTAAACTAAGTCTGTAATTTTTTTTTTCCAGATTAAGTATTTTTTCTATCCTTGATGTTATTTTCATTTTGGGCAACAGACGCATTCTATAGTTTTTGGGAAAAAGAAACTGGAAACAGTAGTAGCACACTGGATTTACCAGATGTTCCTTTTTGCCTGAAAATAAGAATAGTAAAGTTCTTTGAATTTTAATTATAAAGTAATATATTGTAATACAATCGAATTAAAATGTCAGTGTTTTAAGCTGGGTTTTACAAGAGGAAAGCCATAAATTAACATATACTAGCCAAGGGCACTATCAACTGCTATATCCTGCAACATTTTCTCATCAACTGAACTGCCTGGCAGGCACGATAATATGCTGTTCAGCTGCCTGCCGGTTGAAAAAAAGATCTTTCTTAAACTGCATGAAAGCAACGGAAAATATTTCCCATCTTTACGGAAGCAAACCTGACATTTTTAAAGCTAATTCCATAAACAAAAAGAAATACCACAGAATTATCCCTCTCTGCAGAGTTCATGCTGAAAATATATAAAAAAGGAAGCTGATTATTAAATATATGAGCGGAAAAATCTCCAGAGGCAGAGGGTGTTTAATATGTTAGAAAATGTACAAAGTGTTTCAAATTTAGTTATTTTCAAAAAGTACATATTAACTAAATCCAGGAGAAAGGGCTTCTTTGCTGCAGCACTCATCCATTGGAACATCTTATCATCTAAGGTAAAATCTGCTCCACTTTTCTATTCTTCTGAAAGAGCCTGAAGACTTGGCTCAGCCAGTTGGCCTGGGAACTAAATGGGGGAATTCCTCACTGGAAATGGCTGCTAGATTGATAGCAATAGTACTTAGATTTATATACCGCTTCACAGTGCTTTACAGCCCTTTCTAAGCGGTTTACAGTCAGCATATTGCCCCCAACAATTTGGGTCCTCACTTTACTCACCTCAGAAAGATGGAAGGCTGAGTCAACATGAGCTTGGTGAGATTTGAACTGCCAAATTGCGGTACTGCAGTCTAAACACTGTACCACCGCCATGGCAGACTCCACCTCCCCTCCCTGGTCTCCACCCATTCATCTTTTATATTGATCAATATGAATACACCTGAAAGCCAGACAAGGAACAATGGATGGAAACTGATAAGAGGAGAGATTTAACCTAGAAATAAGGAGAAATTTTCTGACCGCGGCTTTAGAAGTTGTGGGTGCTTCCAGTCTCTTTTTGGCCGCTTGTCTAGATGACCTACAAGATCTCTTCCAACCCTGTGATTCTATGATTCTGTAAAGGTCTCCTGCTTGAGCAGGGAGTTGGACTATAGACGACCTACAGAGTCCCTCCCAACTCTATTATTCTGTGATTTTGTTCTAGTTGTGTTCCTTTTTCATTATGTTACTATTCTCTTACTTTACTTCTGTTTACACTCTTTTCATTTTTTTTCCTTTTGATTATTTTAAGCCACTACAGAAGCCACATAGTGAGATAATGGGAAATAAATTTAATAACATTACGTTTCAATATTTTCCCCCTTTTCCATTCTGTCCTCCAGGCTACATATATTCAGTTCTTCCAATGTCACTTGGAGTATTTTATTCGTCAGACCATGCACCATTTTGGTTGCCCATCTCTGCACTCACTCAATCCTATCAATATCTTTAAGTGAGTTTTCCAGAACTAAACACACTGATCCTAATGAGGTCTACTTAAACTGCAATGTAGGATTAGGACCTCCTTTTTCCTCTAGTTATCCCTCTAGTGATACATCCCACGATTGTTTTTGCCTTCACCACTGCCTGGATACATTGTTAACTCATTAGTGTTCTGTTTATTTTATTTATTTTATTTGTCAATCACTTACAAAATAATAGGTATAAGCATAAACATGAGTAAGAATATAGGAAATAGGTATGAATAAATGGTGATAGGGTCGGTAGGCACGATGGTGCACTTATGCACACCCCTTACAGACCTCTTAGGAATGGGATGAGGTCAATAGTAGATAATTTGGGTTTAAAAGAGTGGGGGTTAGAGGATGTTATAACAGAGTCAGGTAGTGCATTCCAGGCATTGACCATTCTGTTGCTGAAGTCGTACTTTCTGCAATCGAGTTTGAAGCGGTTTACATTGAGTTTATATCTGTTGTGTGCTCTTGTGTTGTTGTGGTTGAAGCTGAAGTAGTCACTGACTGGTAGGACATTGTAGCAGATAATTTTGTGTGCTACGCTTAAGTCTAACCATGATTTTTTTCCCCACAATTGCATGATCTCACATTTAGAAACACTGAATTGCAGTTTCCATATTTTTGACCAATTTCCAGAAATGTTGAATTGTTTTCCATGTTACAAATACCCTCAGAAACATCATCATGGGCAAAAAGGAATCTTACCCAACAATCTGTTATATGACTTACAAACACATTTGAACAGAACACTCCTCTTATAACTGGTCTCTGTTCAGACAAACCCATGTTAACAATCACAAATCGGAATCTATTCTGAACCAACTTCTCATACACTGAACCACCCAGTGGTTAAATCCTAACATTCAACTTTTTAGTGAGATCTTTATGTGGAATTATATCAAATGGTTTGCTAAAATCCAGATAGGCTAAGTCCACACACCACCTTTGTCCAAAACATTTGTGATATAATTTAAAAACTAATCTATGACTAATTAAAAATTAAATTATTTGTAAGATTAAGCTTCCAGGCTAACTAGTAATTTAATAATTTATATTCCACCCTTTTCTAAAAAAGAGAGAAAAAAAATCAATTCCCCCAATAAAATGGCTATCATAAATGTGTTAGTTTTCAAAGACTATAGAATAGTTATTTTGTGGTAATAGAATAAGCCAGTTATTGCTAAGGAGATAAGAGATTTCAAGGAGTGGGTTTGTAATTTTATCAGAATACATGATTATTTAGTAGCTTATGGATTAAATTTCTTCAGTTTAACTATTCAGTTTGTTGAAAAAACATTCTGACACAAAATTTCACTCAGCACCTCCCCAATCACATTTCTGGGTTATAATGAAATCAAGCACCCTGAGTTCAGATTTCCTGTGAATTAATCAGTGCACTAATATTAGGTAAAGAGTTGGAGAAAACACAAAGAAGTTGGAGAATTAAATGTTACTCCAATACAGTATCTAGGTATGCCAGTTCATATCATAACTTCCCAATCCACTTTTTTTACCTGCATGCAAACATGATTAGAAGAAAAATGAAAAAGGCATCCAAAATGAAAATATTCTGCAATTCATTTTTTAAATAATAAAATTACTGACCACAGTTGAGAAATTTCATTTTCAAATGTAAGGAGGAAAGCAATTTATATATTCCATTTTTGAAAGATTAAAAGTGCTGAAGATACAGGAAAGAAGAATCTCAAAATCTGACTTGCATGGTGTACCACAATTCCTGTGCAATTACCTTCTATGTTGCTGAGTGTCCATCTGTGGGAAGACATGATAAAAAAGAAATGAGTTGTATATGTTTATACTGTATAACTTTTTACTAATTTACGATTAATACATTTTAAGCACAATCATATAAAATGTTTAGATCAGTTAAAATGAATACCTTCTAAACAGATGGAAAGTTTGTTTTTTGTTAATTTATTTTTCTCTTCTGGACATAACTTGCTCTTTTCTTTTTATTATTAATCTTACTATTATGAAAGGTTACGTGTCGCTCAGATTTTTAATTAGACAGCCTTCTAAATCTGACAAATGGAAAAAGATTAACAATAAGGAACAATGATAAGCGAGAATTATAAACCATGAAATTTGGCCAAGCCCGAAAATGAGGCAACCGCGACAGGAACAGATATGAGCGTTATAGAAGCATTTGGAAACCAGTAGAAATGAGAAAGTCAGGTGCACAAAAAGCCTTACAGCAAAAATCGCGCTTGGGCTGGGCATGTTCCGGCCAACTGTCGAGCCGCAGTTTTCAAGAACCGACATTTTCCCATCTTCTCTGCGAAAGTAAATCAATGATACCCAAGCAGCCTAAAAGCTAGAACAGCATAAGCTTGATAAGCGACGGGACCGGAAGGAATTCCTAGACCTTTTTTCGGTTACCGGGTGGGAACAATAATTCCGGCATGAACGTTCCGCTTTAACAGACTAACAAATATGATTGTAACCGTTTTCCAGGAAAAGACTGGCGAGGGATTATTCGGGTAATCTTTGCCCACGCTGTTTTTTACAGCCATGAGCAGTACAGTGACCACTAGCAGCAACATATTATTTTAACTATTTTTATGCATTTTTTATTAAAACTAATTTTAAACTTTTAATAGTCGCCATGGCGAATAGGCGGCAATACAAATCAAATCAATCAATCAATAAAATACTTTTCTCTTGGGCAAGGGGGTTGGACTTAGAAAGACCTCTAAGGTCCCTTGCAGCCCTATGAAACAAAAAGATAAAAGCTAATGCAAATTAATGTAAAACAAGAAAGGAAAAAGAAAGCAAAAAAGCAGCCGGGTATTGAACAGACTCAGCATTATGAACTCCAGCCTTCGCCCCTCCCTGCTAGTCCTTGTTTCAGCCCGGAAGGGAAGCAGACGAACTGTGGCAGCATGTTGCAGCCGAACTCCCACTTTCACGCACATTCACGTGCAGCAAGCAATATGGGGCCACTCCGCTCCCCAGCGCATATTCCAGCTGAGTACACCAACTAAATCAGCTAAAAAAAATCAACCAACCAAAACTCTTGGCATTGCGAAAGAGAGCCTCGCCGGCTCCGCTCCGTAGAGTTCAAGTTTGCTCCTGCTCGTTTTCGGATTCAAGTTCATTCCCTTCCTCAGAATGATCCTAATGATAGTACCCAAATTCAATTGGTGGTGGATTACTATTCTCCCAGGCAAGACTGCACAATTTAATTTTGTGTTTATCCACAACTTGGTCAATTATAGTATTCCAGTCAAAATCACACAGTGCTTTGTTTATGAGCAGTTATAGTCTACCAATTTCATAAAAGACACCACGGCAATGCAGCTCAGGTATAACAGAATCTGCATAATGGGAAGTTAGAAATGGCATGTCATTTCTATAGTCCACTGTAATTTTTGCAATTTCATGAATAAAAACATCTGTATATCGGGCATTGTCAAGGATAGCTATGTCACAAGTATTTTCAGCCTGGACATCTGAATGATGCTGGATTCAAAAATGTATTTTGAGATTTCTCATATGTTTAGTCATTGTTCATTATATAGATACTATACCAAATCTCTTAATTGTGGAGTAATTATGGATTTAATTAAATTAATTAGAGAAATGTCTCTTATAATAGATTGTTTATAAGTGAAGATGGTTGTTGGGAAAAGGTGTAGCTGAGTGACAATTGGGCAGGCAAAAATTTGTGATAAAAACTATTATTGGGTTCAGCAAGCCAGGATACAAAAAAAATGCAAAAATGATACTCAGCAATGCCATGCTGAGGTTGTGGAGTGGGGTGCAATTCCAGACAAGTCTGTGGCAATGTAAAACTCATACAAAAGCTTAGGACCAAAGAACCATGTGGCAGAAGAAAATTCAAACTACTTTTAGATGAGCAACAGCAGTCATGTGATGTAATTGAATAATTTTTATATTAAAGAAATATTTGTAATAGGATATGGCCATGAAAAGCCTGTGATAGGATATATACAAACATGGCAATATTAAAGCAACTACAGATGAAGCATAGACCAATATGGGCTGTCCTCCAGTTGATGCAAAAACGCTAATCTTTTGCAAGAAATTGCCAAGGCTTGTGCACTCGAGTTAGTTAAGAGAGTTCAATTGGTAGCTGAGACTGGGCATTACTCAGCCATTTCAACAACCCACACAAATGGGCACAAGGATTCCAAGAATTGGGTCAACTTAATGAAAAGGTAGCTGTGTATTGCATGCAAGAAAATATGAGCAGCAAATAAAACAAAAGCCAGAATTCCAATTAGGGCCCCAAAACTGGGCCTATAAACAGGTATTATGCCATGCTCTCATAGTCCATTCCAGCCACAATCAATCAGCCACATTATTGATTCTATTGCAGTGTAGGTGCAATTTATCAGCATGGACATCCAGCCTCTTGCCCAGTCCAGCTTCCTGTTGCTCAACTAAGGGTTGAGATCTTGTATGCTGCCAAAGATGTGTTTGAGGTCAATAGTGCTGCCATGGTCTTCTGTACATGGAGGGTACAAATAGAGGACCTGCTTGACATTGGCAACATTGAGGTTGCCAATGGCATTTGTGTTTCGGCTGGCTTCATGGTCTTAGATGCTCATGACTGACGAGAGCAATGCAGCTCCTGCAGCCCTTCTAGAAGGTGAGTACATTCTAAAAATCAAGTACAAAAGCCATGAAGGCAACTAGGTCATTGAGGATAACATCCACCGGATCAAACTTGAGAGAAAGATTGTGTCAGCTCTGTCCCAGCTTGGGTGTTTAGGAAAGAAAGACCATTGATTCCCTTAGTATAGAAAAGGTATACTTTTACTAAAGCCAACAAGTAGTTACAGTGTAAGCAAAACAAGATTTGAATATTCTTGTGTAAACTTAATGGTTTTCCCCTCTTCCAGGTCTCCTTTGGGCACTGGTCAGTGTCCAATTATATGCAAAGTAGATGTCAGAATTTGCAGCAATCCAACCAGCACACAAGTAAATAATTCAGCAGGATTCATTTATAGAAGAAACTCCTTTATATACAATAATATACAGTATGATGCATGTATACAATACCTGTCAGAACCAGAACTCAGAATCCAGAAGTCATAATCACAGAAGCTATATAAACACAGAAGCAATATATTACAGAGGCACATATATATATACTGATCAGTGAACCTAAACCACGCCTAGGCTCCAAGTGGTCTGAGTCACCAAACAGTCCCTATTGGCTGACTTTTATGAACCTTATACACTGACACTCCTCCCTTCATGACTGGAATAGACATACAACCAAGTAACTTAATATTCTTCCCATGGTGCACTACACCCAATGGCTTAGTCATTCTTGTCCTCACCCAAACCTTTTAATTCAAATTTTTCTCTAATTGATTAGTAAGTTCTTTTTCTGTGACACATCTTTTGTAATGAAACAAAGATCATCTACAAATGCTAACAATTGACAATCCCCACCTTGTAACTTTCCAGTATATATACAATCATCAGGCTTGCAACTGTTAAATCCAAGACTCTTCAATGCCATATCTGAACATAAATTCCAATTCCTGGCTGGCTGCTTCAGCCCATAAATGGCCTTGTTCAATTTATACACAGTGTTAGGCTTTTTACTTTCATGCTTGATGCTTGAACTATATAAATTTATTCTTCTAATTCTGCATTGAGGAATCCTGTGATTATATCAAAATGCCAAATTTTAGAACCATGTGGCACTGCCAATGCTAGTGCCAACATTAGGCTTTCACTCTTCACCGTTGGTGCAAATACCTCATTATAGTGCACATTTTTCTTCTGTGAAAATCCTTGTGCCATTAATCTTGCTTTGTATTGTATCTCATGGTTGGTTAGTACTTTCTTTTTGTACATCCATTTACACCCTATGGCTTTGCAACTTTGTAATAAAGTCATATATGTGAACACTTTATGTTCACCATGGATTTCATTTCTTTGTCCATGGCTTCTTTCCATTTCACTTATTCAATTTTGGGTAGTGCCAATACTTCTCATACTGGCTCATACTGGCTTACACACCTTTACTTCATTATCAGAATACCTGTCAGGTGGAATCCCCTTGTTCCATTGCTCTGACCTGCATGGCATTGACTGCCCCTGTGTTTCAACTCTCTCTGGCTTCATATCTGAGTCATCATCATCTCTCCTTTTCTAGTTCGCTTTTAGTTTCTCCTCCCTGAACACTGACACCATCACTAATTGAGTTACCATCACTAAGTGGATCACTCCAAAAACTGGCATCAATTCTGTTCCAATTTTGTTCTGCAAAGCTAGCAGACCTGGAAATTACTATTCTCTTGCTCCCATCACTAAAGGGATAGCCAGGAGTGGGATCTGGCCGGTGTAACTACCAGTTTGGTGATTTACGATTTGCAGTTCTATGTCTGCTGCTCTTCAGGGCTACCGGTTCTACAGAGCCAGACAGAGCCGGTAGAATCCCACCCCTGGGATGAGCTCATAGCCTGTAAACCTGAGCTTTCTAGCTTTTGGTTGACCCTTTCTCCTGATTGCTTTTGGAATATGCACCCATGCATTGCTTCCAAACATCCTTAAATGTGCAAGAGATGGCTTTCCCATACAACACTGCATATGGAGTGTTATACATTACAGAAGAAACTTTATATAAAATAATATACAGTACGATGTATGTATACAGTACCCAAGTCAGAACCAGAACTCAAAATCCAGAAATCATAATCAGAGAAGCTATATAAACACGGAAGCAATATATTACAGAGGCACTCATATTTATGCACCATTGGAAGAATGTTAAATTATTCAGTTTTATGTCTATTCCAGTCATAAAGGGAGAAGTGTCAGTATATAAGATTCATAAATTGGATATTTTGGTAACAGTCCTGTTTAGTGCCTTTTTGGTGGGTGTTTGCAATCCATTCTCATGCTTATGTCCTTGCATCTCTCATCTATTGCTTCAGATTGGCACCACTGGCTCCTGTCATCCCTTTCTCAGTGTTTCCTCCCTATCCCCCCATTTTATGTCAGGATGCCATCAATGTGAAGCAAAGCTCAAGATAATGTTAGATATGCCCCTCTTGGAAAATGGCTTAGACCTGAAACAGAAAAATAAGAAAAATGGTTAGTGTCATCTGGGTATCATTGAGGTTTGTCAAGGTATTTGTTATGAAATTTGCAAATGAATTTGCATGCTGGGCATTGACTCATTTGGTCTCAGATAGGGGAGAAGTCTTTCCATTATATTGAGTACTGCACTTTTCCTCATGTTTGAAGAGGTCCAAGGTTTCTTTGACTATTATTCTCCTATAAGTGCAGGGATTAGAGGCCGTCCTTTTGTGGGATGCAGGGAGGTGTTTGCTAATTTCAATAAGCTGCAGTGGAAAAGTGGGTCGATGCATCTGAGGATTTGGGGTAATTCTAATTGTACTGTTATTGGCTTGATGATTTTAATTATGAGGAAAAGTCTGAAATTTGGTCCAAATTTCTTAAAACATTGATTGGATTGTAGATATTTGGAAGACAAGCAGACTTCGTTACCCAA